ACAAGTTTATAGATACTGTTATACAGCTTTGCCAATAGTTCCTTAGACTACAGGGTAATGTGAGACCTGTGTCTCCATAGATGGCATCTTTGCTCTTCCTTACCTGCATTCACCTCTCTTGTCAGAATCATCTGTATTCTGGGATGTGGATACAGCAGAGAAGAGGCTATCCAGCAAGGCAACTGTTCTGCCATAGATAAGGAATCCAGATTCCTCTTCAGAAGAATCTTAGCCCCTGCAGGATCCTCTCCAATTTCAGGTGGAGGGAGCATGAGACCAGAGCCGCAGATCAGGATTCCAGCCCCAGACCAAATATAATTGGCTGATGGACAAGTGATACTTGAGGCCATGGATTCCTCCTCCACCAGTTGATCTGTTCTGCTGGCAATCTTGGGGACCATGAGAACCCTACCAGAGACACTCAAGATCATTTCACTAGTCCTGTTTGTCATCGTTCAGTTACCCATAGTTGGTACCATCAGAATATTTGGAAGGGGAAAGTGAGACCGTCAGCAGTTCTGGGAATGATCTTGTCACCATCACCATCCCCTCTGTTTCCCTCAGATGACTTCAAGCAATATCAGGAGCTCATGCACAAGGTGACTGGAGAGCTGGAGACAGTTTCAGAACAATTTGCGGGGCATTCTGCAGCCTTCTAGTTCCTGATGAGCAGCCCTCCCCATCAATAAGGTCATCAGGGACCTGGCAAATATGGTTAGGCACACCCCCGCTTCTTGTATGCTCACCCCCAAAGAGGGTGAAGAGCACTACTTTGTTCCTTCTGGGGGGGAAGGATAATTTGGTTTTCTCATCCACTGCTTAACTCCTTTGTAGTGTGGGTGACTAAAGAGCAGTCCAAGCAATAGCACTCACAGCCCAATCTCTTTGGTTAAGGGCATAAGTGACTCAACCTGCTAAGGAGACAGGTCTTCTCACTCAGTCCTGAAGCTTAAATTACCAAACATTTTTGTTCAAATGTGATGTTAGCAACTATAAAAAAAATTTTAAATTCAAGAACAAGCTCCTTTAGGATAAGTCCCAGGCCTTATTGGATGAGGGCAGGATAGTAGTGAAAGCTTCCCTTTAACCAACACATTTAGAAAGTGGCTACAGCAGTTATGAGGAGGAACTAATGGTTGCAATCCTCAGGTTTCCCTGTAGAGGTATGGACTACTATCTGAGATCTGCCCTTTGTTAGTATCTACTTATTTCATGAGTCTCTCCACTCCTTAAGCCTTTTAAGGTAATGCTTTGCTCTCTGGGCTTTATACTCCTATCCGTGAGGAAAACACACCATAGACAAGGAGATCTCAGCCTTTTAACCACCAACATCCTCAAGAATTACTATACAAGAGACAGAGTTTACAAACTTTGGAATTCAGCCACTGTAATTTCCACAGCCACATCCTATTCCAACCTCCAAATGAAGAGTTGTTTTTTATGGGTCCGTTGAAACCTGCGTACCCTTATTCAAGGGTCTCTACAAAGTATTTTTTTTCCAGTAGTGGCAGCTTGGATGAGAAGGGATTATTAGGCTTCCCTTGTCTTAATGACTGTCTTCCGATGGGCAATTCTCAAAAGGAAGTCCAGTGAGCAACCATTGTTCTGCTCAGCCTTGTACCTTTCTGGGATGTCTGCATTAATCACAAAAAGTCCTCACAAAATGTATAAGCTTTACAGAAGTGATGTGATTTCAGCCACAGCAATGTTGAGTTTTTTCCATGGAAAATTAAAAACCAGAATACATTGTCCATAATCCAAATTACTTCTGTTCTGAAATGGTTCTGAAATGCATCATCCTCCTATTCTCTTCTGCAGGCTGGGCTACCTGAGAGCTACATTCATGCATATGGGCCTCTTCTCTTGACGAGCAGAGACCTATATCTAGCAGTTGCATAGCTATGATGCATTCTGAAATTGTACAGGCAGTCCCCGACTTACATGGATCCGACTTACGTCGGATCCCTAGATACGAACGGGGTGAGGCAACTCCCGCACATGCGCAGCAGCATTCCCGGGCTCGCTCACCTGGGTCCTAGGATCCTCCTCCTCCTCGGGCCGGCTCCGACTGGGGTCCCGCAGAGCTGCCGGGCAGAGGAAAAGTGCCTCCCCCTGCCAGCAACAGGCTGCCCCCTCCCCGGAGCAACAGGCTGCCGAACAGACAAAAGCAGCCTCTCTGCCCCTCCTC